GGCAAAAATTAATTAATTAATTAAACATATATTTAGCATATGGCACAGTAACTTCATTGGTAGTAGATAGCCACTAACAGGAAATGAAAACCTACAGGGGATTTTAAAAAGTTCACAGAAAACTGAATTAAAATATGAGTTTTTTGGGACCAGCAGTTAGCGTAATGGCTATGTCGCTGAACTCCCATGTAGTCGGCCACGGTTCGAGTCCTGGACCCGGTGGCTTAAACTCAAGCCGGGTGCATGTGCGTGTGTGCCCAAAATCCCGAGAGGAGAATGGAGGAGAAAGGATTGCAGTGTGACCATCCCCCCTGGGGGGTGATTTCTCACTTTCTGTCTCTCTGTCTCTCTGGCGAGCGCACGCCCTATAGCAAAAACCGCTCAAAAAAAAAAAAAGAATTTTTTTGGTACAAAAATTTTTTTAAAATATATGTATAGGCTTTTTTTTTTTTTTTCTTTTTTTTTTTTTTGGAGTTCAGGACTTGAACCACAGTTGGCTACATGGCAATCCTGCAAGGTAAATATTATGCCATCTGCTGGTCCCTCAACTGACATTTTAAGTAGAGACTGTCCATAGGATTCTTCTGGAAGCTTCATCTTCACCACCTAGAGATTTTACCCAGTTCTCCAAACTCACTTCATTGCTCTTTCTAGCTGAGCTCAATTTGTGGTGCCCCAGCTGAGTTCAAACCTTCCTCTTTCTGACCAGCAGGTGGGATGGTGGCTAAGGTGGTGGACTCTCACACGGCTGACCACAGTTTGAGTCCTGCACCTGACAGCTTGGAAATCGAGCTCGATGCATATTCAAAATCCTGAGAGGAGACTGGAAGTAAAGGGATTGCTGTGTGGTCATCCCTCCTGGAGGATGATTTCTTATTTTCCTTCTCTGTCTCTCTCCAGCAAAAGCCCCTTATGGCAAATAAATAAATAAACAACCTCTCTTCCTCACTCTGCTTTCCTATTCACAATTCTCATATCCTGACCAATGTGTGAATGGTAACAGCTGAACGGCATACAAACATGGTTTGAGGGGAGAGCAGCCCACAGTCATGTCTTCAAAGTCTCTTCATGCAGTGGGAAATATATATCTCACATTAATTATGTGAAGATTAGGTGAAAGCGCTATTAAATGCAATTTATAGGTGCAATTGGTTTGAACTGAGCTCTTGTGCTAGGTCCAGCAGACCAAACCAAAATGTAGTTTTGCTGAACTTACATTCCTCAAAACTAAAACTTAAGTTGTTTATCTGACTTTCTGAGAGTTCAGGAGAATAAGCTGTAATAGCCAAATACCCAAACAGGCCCATTTTTTCCTGGCATGATAAGGGAGTCCTCTCTGCCCTAACTTTTACAAGCAAAATAACTTTGAAATGACCAATCTTTATTTTTTTTTCTATGTCTGCTTTCCTTGGTCCTTTCTGTCTATAAAACCAACCTCCGCTCATCAGAACTCTCAATCTTACAGAATGAAGTGTTGCCTGACTCTAGACTCACAAAAACCAATTAAAATCTTTAAATTTGCTGTAGTTTTGTCTTTTGACGATGCCGAATACCCAGTATGTAATACTAGTAATGCTTAAAAGTTACTGAAATAGATGCAAAGTGGTTTTTGGTTTAGAGTGTGTGTTTAGATTATCCCTTGAGCTTTGGCCATCTTTAAACAGGGAAATACATCAGAAGGGAATCCAAAAAGTTGAAGAAACAAATGGGATTACAGTGTAATGGTCTGGAGTAAGACTCAGAAGACATCATCTCAAGAAAAAAAGGAAAGTTTATTGAAAGAAAGAGTGCCAGGGGTCTGAAGCTGGAATTGCCTCGCCCCAGCTGCCAGGATGGAAAGGCCTTCTTTTACAGGGTAATCAAGCTATTTTGGGAGCCTGTCTGACTGATATGCAGGGGAGCTGATATGCAGGGGAGTTAGGCATAGTGGAATAAACATACATGAAACATTTGGTGGGTCTTTTTGATTCATCTCTAGGAGGTTAGACCTCCCTGTACTCCCTTTGGGTCTTCATCTGATACTTTCTGGGTCAGTGTGGCCTTGCAGTAGCAGTACCTGGAGTATAGGCTCTTGCCAAGACCAACTATGCCAAAGTTCGGCCTTTGTTCCTTCCCAGGCCTGGTGTGATGTCAGGTGGTACTCAGAAGAACTTTACTGAATGGGACCTTACACAGTGCAGGTTTATTTTGGTGGAGAATTTTTTTAATCCATGTAGTTTGTTGGGTTTTTTTGTTTTGTTTTGTTTTGTTTTGTTTTTTTTACTTTATTTGTTGTTATTATTTTTCAATTTGACCAGAAAGAGACAGAGAGAGTAAAAGAGAAAGTGAGAAAGAAAGACACCAGATCCAGGACTTGAACCATGTTAGAGTCCAGCACCTTAACCACCATACCACCTGCCAGCCCCTCAGTGTAGTTTTTATTGTTTTTTACTTTAAGTTCATCAAATTTAATAATTTTTTCTATACATACACATTTATTTGCTACTGAAAGGTAAAATATCAAAATTCCCTTTTATTGCAATTCAAATTTTTGAAAGCTAGAAAAATCTAATTACTTATCCTGATCACTATGTTCTAGCTGAACTATCCCATGTTTTATTTTCATCCCTTCCCCAGAAATCACTTTGTTCAAAACTGAATGCTGGGTTTCGTCTCATACTCCAGGCTTCTAAAACACATACATTTGAGAACTACTGGTGCTTCTTGGGTCATGTCAGAAAGTACAAACACAGTACCATACTTTGAACTCTTTGAACTACAATTAAACTACACATATTCCTTACAAATCGCTGGTATCAAGATAGAGATGCACAAAGAAAAATAAGTCACAGAACTCAGAGGTTATCAAAAGTAGCTGTCTCAGGAACCAGCAGTTAGCGTAATGGCTATGTCACTGGACTCCCACGTAGCCGACCACGGTTCGCATCCCGGACCCGGTGGCTTAAACTCACGCCAGGTGTGTGTGCGTGCGTGCCCAAGATCCCGAGAGGAGAATGGAGGAGAAGGGACTGCGGCATGACCATCCCCCCTGGGGAGTGATTTCTCACTTTCTGTCTCTATGTCTCTCTCTTTCTGGCGAGCTCACGCGCCCTATAGCAAAAACCTCTCCAAAAAACAAACACACAAAAGTAGCTGTCTCAGTCAGCTGCATACAATTACCAGCAGGAAAGACTAAGATTTATGGCTAAACTGACTTTCTATTTAGCATTTTTTCAGAGGGATCCCATACTGCAGTGACATTTGAGTGGGTCACTTCTTGGTTCATTCTGAATTCCTGAAGGGCTCAAGTCTCTTAAATCTCTTTAAGCTGAACTCCCTTAAGCCACATGTCTCTTCTCTTTCAAGTCGAGAAAATGTGTTAATTAAAAGGTATCACAGATTTATCATCCTTTCTTTCCTCACTGAAAACGTTTGTGCTCCTTTCTTATGTAGAGGATGCCACCTCTGATCTGAACTCTCTCTTCTCTTCTGACCAGTCGTTGGGAAGGGCCTTCTGGTAGAGGAGAAAGGAATCTGGTACCAAGATTGAGGGTCAAGTTACTAAATTCATTTATTAACGTTTCTGAGCAGATGGGAGGAGAGGCCACGAAAAGACCCACCTCCATTGCCAAATCCTGAATTGGGTGCTGCTGTAGCAAATGAGTTCTGCCCCAGGGAGTTATCAGAAGACCACATCGCTTCCTAGAAACTTGCCCCCTCTTCCATTTCTCCTGAAAAGATGCTTTTCTGTTTATTAACATTCCTAGAGGGGAAATTTAGCTGGAAAGTCAATCTCCAAAATGTTGGTGAGCCATTCAGAAATATTTAGGAGCCAGCAGATGGCAGTGATTAAAGCACTGGACTCGCACATGGTGGACGGGGTCTCATCCTAGACTTGGCAGCTGCAGTCACACCAGGCATGTGACTGTGCCCTCCATGTAGGTTTTTTTTGTTTTTTTTTTTTGAGAGGTTTTCGCTATAAGGCGCGTGCGCTCGCCAGACAGACAGAGAGACAGAGAGACAGAAAGCGAGAAATCACCCCCCAGGGGGGATGGCCTCGCAATCCCTTCTCCTCCATTCTCCTCGGGATCTTGGGCACGCACGCACACGCCCCCCCACCCCCCGCGTGAGTTTTAAGCCACCGGGTCCGGGACACGAACCGCAGTAGACTAGGTGGGAGTCCAGCGACATAGCTATTACGCTAACTGCTGGTTCCCCCTCCATGTAGTTTTTAAACAATTCACATTTCCCATGAGCTTTTTGTAGACTATACATACACACACACACATGTTTTTTTCTCTCTTTTTTCTTTTTTTGCACCGAAATAAAATAATTCGGATTCCATTTTTTTCCACAAACATTTTGGAGTACTTGTATTTATGTAGGCATGTATGTATATCCATGCGTGTTTGTGTGTATATATATATATATATATATATGTGTGTGTGTGTGTTTGTATGTGTATGAATCCCGTAGAAGCTGGGAATGGGGAACAGGCTGATGCAGGCTGTTACTGAAAGAATCGAGAGTTGAAAGAATAACTTAACGTCTTTTCTGCCTGAAGGATTAGGAATCCCAGTAACAGCCACCATAGATTGAGTTTGTGTCAGTCACTGTTAGCTGATTGCCGGCATGATTTCAGGCACAGTAACAGTAAGAGATTTGTAATACCATCTTCCCCGCCTTTAGGTGAAGAACTTGAAGGGGCGAAATATCAGGAGCGTCTTCCATTTCCATAGAAGTGTAAATCGAGTCTTTAATACTAAGTAGGGTGGATCTTACTTCAAGACTACGAGAGTACCACTCCTGACCACTCGAATCCGCTCCTGGTTTTTTTTTGCACCAAGCACAGCGCTGGGGCCTTGAGGGAAAAGGAGGGGCAAGGTGGGAGCCTCGGTGGGTGTGGCCTCACGCAGGTTTTGTTGGAGACACAGGCGGGACCGCCACGGAGCCGTAAAGAACACATAAGTCGTGAAGCGGCGACGTGCGTAAGCATTACTTTACGGCAGTCCGGGCGCGCGCGCCTGACAGTAGCGGCTTGCGGCTTGTAGGCTACACACGTGGGCCGGTTCGCGGTTCCGGCGGATTCCTCTTCTTGTTGGCCTGGAGTAGCCAACATTGACGGACAGAGTGACAGCAGTGGCCAGGAGTCGAGGGCTGATGGAGTTTGCTGCTGAAAATGAAGGGACCTCGGGAGATCTCCAGAGAGTAACCCAGGGGGCGCGGCTAAGTGCCGAGTCAGGTAGGGAGGGAGTTGGGGACTTAGGGATGGAGGAGGCCGGCGGTGAGGAAAAGAGGAATGGACTGTCGGGAATGAAGACGGGGAATGGAGAGGATGGAAGTGGACAAAGGGCAGAGGAGATGCGAATGGACTTGACGGTTGTGAAGCAAGAAATTATGGACTGGCCGGAAGTAGAAGAAGGCGTGTTGGACGGTCAGTGGGTAAAGCAAGAGGTGGAGGATGGGCCTCAAGGGAAGGATGAGAAGGCAGGCTTATTGGAGGTGAAACAGGAGATGGGTAGTAGTTTGATGGTAAAAGAGGAGAAGGTGGATGAGCCAGAAATAAAAGAAGAAAAAGTGAAGGTGAAGGAAGAGGTCACGGTTTGGCCAGAAGTGAAGGAAGAGGATGAGAAGTTAGAGATAAAACAAGAGATGCTTGTTGATCAAGACGTAAAAGAGGAGATGATGGATGGAGTGCATGTAAAGGAAGAGAAGGATTTCTTGAAGACAGAAGCCATGGATGATGTGAAGGTGAAAGAAGAGGCCCAGATTAGTCACCCAGTGGGCTGCAAGCGGAAACTGGCCATGTCAAGGTAGGATGGGGAGAAATCTGACTGGGGGAATAAAACTAGAGTCCTCTGTTGTATAGAGTGAAGGAAACTTAATCAGCAGAAGGTAGAATGTTGAAAAATAAGCACAAGTGTAGGTTTCTAGGGTTCCATTGGTGTTGGGGGGGGGAGCAGGGAGTAAGATTGTGGGGAGGTTGTCACTTGGCAACAGACTTGTGAAAAATAAGCTACTTTGATCGTGTCCAGTGGGTAATGGTTAAGTTAGGAAAGTGAAAGTTCTAGGAACCAATAGGCCCTTTGGAACCAGGTCTGGTTTGACTTAATATGTTCTTGACTTGGTACTCCTTTGAGAGGATAGAGATGAGAAAGAGTCTAATAAAAGCATTAATGACAGGGGCCAGGAGGTGTCCTGGTGGTTAAGGCTGGTAGATTCCCTCATGGCCAAACACAGTTCGCATCCTGGAACATCCTGGAACGGTGGCTTGAAAATCATGCTGGCACTTGTGTGTTCGTGTTCAAGATCCCAAGAGGAATATGGAAAGGGAATTGTGCGTGGCCAATCCCCTACACACACACCCCCAGGGGATAATTTCCCACTTTCCCTCTGGTGAGCACAGGTGCCCTGTCGCAAAACAAACAAACTAAAACTAAAACAAGCAAAAAAAATGAATGACAAATTGCATTAAGTTAAAGTTAGACAAAAATACACTTTAACTCACTATGTACTCAGTTGTCAAGCATCTCTATGGGTACCATGAATGTTCGTTGCTTCGAATTTTATTTCCTTAGTGTATGATCATGTGACAACATAAATAAGAGTGTTCAGATTCTTGGGAATATTTCTATCTATTGATAGAACACAGTAGACCAAATAGAAGTAGTTGTAATTTAGTTGCCTGTATCGAAAGATTCTAGAAGAGCAGCTGAAGACAAATAGACAAATAATGAATAATAGCATTTCAAGATTATCTGCTACCCATTCTGGGTTAGCTGTGGAATTGAAAAAGGAGCTACTGTTAATCTCTAGATTTGACTAGATCTTACATTCTTTTGGGGGGGGGGGTTAAGATTTGTTTGTTTGTTTTGCCGTAGGGTGTGTATGCTTGCTGAAAGGGGAAGTGAGAAATCATGTGTGGGGCGGGGGCGCACCACAATTCCTTCTTCATTGTCCTTCTGGGACTTTGGGCTTGCAAGCACATATGCCTAGCATATGTCCAAAGCCACCAGATTCGACACTTAAACTGTGGTTGGACAGGTGAGAATCCAGCAGCTCAACCACTCTGCCATCCGCTGGTCCCAGTGTGTGTTTTTAAAATATGTAAACATAGTTCATGAATTGGGCTTCTGGATTCATTCATTCAGTATCATACAGTCATTGCCAAATTGCCAAGAATTCTAAGTTAAAATATTGGTGAATAATTTCATTCTGGTCAAATGTGAGATGAATTTTTTAAAATTTAATACTTGTTTTCTTGAGTTACATATTATTAACAGCATTGTAAACATATTAATAGATGTTTGGAGAGGATTTCATAGAGAAGAATTTTCAAATGATGTTTGACAGCCATCAAGTATTTTGTCAAAGTTACTTGCAAGTACTTTATTGACTATGATTGCACATCTATAAATTGATTGTGACAGATAATTGAATCAGCATTAAAAGTTTATAAGCAGAATTACTATTTGATAATTTAGTAACTTACAAATGGGCTTTTGTAGGTGTGAAACTTGTGGCACAGAAGAAGCAAAATACAGATGTCCACGTTGTATGCGATATTCCTGCAGGTAAATATTTAACTTCTTACCTTATTTTATATGTGTGTCCTTTTTACCTTAAATATAACAGTACTTTCTCTTTGTTTCTTCAGTTTGCCATGTGTAAAGAAACACAAAGCAGAACTGACATGTAATGGAGTTCGAGATAAAACTGCATATGTTTCAATACAGCAGTTTACAGAAATGCATCTCCTCAGTGGTGAGCCATCTTATGCATAATAGATTAATGCTTCCTAGCCATTGGTGTGTGTGATTGTTTATTATCCTATTTTGAAATTATTAGATTATCGATTTTTGGAAGATGTGGCAAGAACAGCAGACCATATTTCCAGAGATGCTTTTTTGAAAAGACCAATAAGCTATAAACATGTAAGTATTTCTTATAATCCCCCATAATCCCTTCTGGTTAGAATTTCTTCCATTAAGTTAAATTCAGTTTTTCACTGAAATGTGTTTAAGTAGCTACCGTGATTTTGGGCTTTTGTGGTTACTAGGGATATTGTAGTAACTAAGCAAAGTTCTTCCTTTCGTGGAGCTTGTATTATAGTAGGAGAAATAGGAGATTAGAGGAACAAGTATAATTTCAGATAAAGTTATGTGCAAAGTAAAAGAAGGTGCAGGATATTAAAGAGTATGAAAATGGTGTTGGTTAGGGGAAGGTTGTCAGAGGGAAGGTTGTTTCCATTCATTGGTCAGGAGAAGCTTCTGAGATGACATTAAACAGCTTTCTTAATAATGGGAAAGTTTGTCATGTGAACATTTGGAGAAAGACTGTTCCATGTAGAGACAAAAACAAAAGTAAAGACTTGTGTCAGCAACAAGATTGATGTGTTTGAAGAATTAAAAATGGGCAAGGTGACTGAAGCGTAATAAGTGAGGAGGAAAGTGTTAAACATGAGGTTAGAGAACCTGGCAAGGGTTCCTAACCCATTCTAAGTAAAAAGTGGAAACCACAGGAGAGTTTATAGCATGTTTGCTTTTTTTCTTTTTTAAGTTTATTCATTTCTTCCATGAGGGACACTAAGGGAGAGAGAGAAACAGACAAACAGCCATCCACAACAGGGTTTTCATGTTGCAATGGAGGTAGGCACCCTCAATAGTCTTTACCCTGAGATCCTACCAGCTGCAGTCAGGCAAGATTATGGGTGTGCTTGTACACTGGGGATATACAGGGAGACATTCAGATGTGAACCAGGGACCTTCCTGTGTGGCTTCAGCATTGATTGTACACTTTGCTACTGCTGTGCCTCCATGGCTGGCCATGTTTGGCCACTTCTTTTTGAAAGACCATTCTTGCTGATATATGGACTTTACGGGGCAAGAATGGAAGATTGAAGCAGGGAGACCAGCTCTGAGACTTACAGTGATATTTATATGAAAGAAAATTATGTGTCAACTCTTATTTTTCCTCAAGCTTAATTGGGCATAATGAAATTTCTATTTAAAGATGAATTGCGTTTTTATTTTTTCCTTTTATAGTGAAATGTACTGTCTATAAAAAATCATAAATTGAAAATACAGTTTTATAGTTATAAAATACATCCATGTAACTAATATCCAGGTCTACAATTAGAATATTACTAGCTTCCTAGAAGTTCTCTGTCAGTCTTTTATGCCCTTCCTTGAACTGTTCTCATTTCTGAATAGTTTTATGTCTTAGGACCATATCACAGTTAAGGTATTATTCTTCGTATTATTCATGAACTTTGGATTTTCTGAAATAGCAACCAAAAAAGAGGGATAGCTCCATAGCCTGGTGATTCAGGAAGCTGGTTCCCACATGACCAACCATTCAGTTTAAGTTCTGGACCTGGTGGCTTGAGAAACATGTTGAGAAAGTGTGCGTGTGTCCAAAATCCTAAAGAGAGGAAGAGATGGGGAAGGGATTGCAGTGTGACCATTCTACATGAGGGGTGCTTTCTTTGTTACTATCTCTTTGTCTCTCTCCATCTGTAGATAGCCTCTGGCAAAATTAAAAAAAAAAAAAAACAACTTTAGAAACAGTGCTGTTGTGAACACTTCTGTTTATGAATTGTGGTTTTCATGTGTATATGTTTTTCTAAAATTTATATCTGGTAGTGGAATTGATTTGTTATGGGATATGAATATCTTCCATTTGACTAGAGAATACTAAAATATTTTCCAATTTACATTCCCACCAATTAAGTGTAAATGTGTCTATGGTCACTCTTT